TAGCTGTAGGTATATATTTTTAGCAATTTGTCACCTGTGTGATGTCGGGTAAGTGGCCTGTCGGGTAAATGACTTTCAGGGAATCGTGCCGTAACCATTATAATAAAATAAAAATTGCATATAGAAAGTTTCATTAGAGCTATAAAATTTATAGCCAAAATAAGATCTAATTTTCACTTATTTAAAAAAGTTAGCATAGTAATATTTCTCAAAACCTAATAAAATCATTTTTAACTATACAATACTATAGCTCTAATAAAATTTTTTTATATTTTTTATTTTATTATGATTAGTTTTTATTTTTTTAAAAAAGTACTATAAATTGTAAACCATATAAAATTAAATTTATTAAACAATCAGATAAAATTTTGCCTATAAGATTTATGCAGAATTAGCAATAGACTATGATATACACTATCAATAAATATTATTTATTGGATTAATAAATATAGTTCATTGTGTTAATAGATATAGTTTATTAGTAGCTATTAAGCCATATTTTAGTCTATTGGTTAACTCTAGTTTTACATATTAGATTCTAATTAGCTTATACAAAATATATTATACGTAACAGTATGTATAATACTTTTAATTCTTAAAACTATAGTAATTGATATATCAATCAATTATCTAATAATTGATATATTAATCAATTATCTAATAATTGATATATTAATTAATTATCTAATTAGAGAATAAGCTATGATGATATTATATATAAAAAAAGTCTAATATTTAATGATATCATATAACTAATATATATATTGTATATTTATCATTATAAGATTAAGTTAATTTAATATTATTAGTTAGTTATAAATATAAATATATAGGTTATCTTTTTTTAAAAAAACACAAATATAAAATTCTTAAACTAATTTTGTTATAGTTATTTTTCATAAAGAATTTAGAGATATTTTGCCAAATATTAATATAACAAAAAATAATATTTGTATTAGGAAATTACTATTTGTACTACGATTTTTGCTATTTGCATCATTAATTTGACTAAAATTATACTCTAACTCTAATTAATTCTGGTTAAACTAATAGTACAAATAGCAAAAATTATGGTATAAATAGCAATACTCTTTGTATTATATATAAATATACTATTAATCTAAGTATTACAGAAGCAGTTATAATTTTAAATTATAAATATTTTTACTATAAGAAATGTATTAGTAAAAAGTATTTGCTATATCAAGAAACAACTAATGAGATTAAAAATATACTGATTTATTATTAACAAAATAACTATTCTATTAGCTCATTATTGAATTTAGAATATATCATTATTTTTACTTCATTTACTGATTATATTGAATCTATCATATTTACTGAACCCATTGAATCTTCTATATTTATCAAATCTACCGAACCTATTATTAATATAAAATCTATTAAATTTACAAAATTTAATAAATTTACTAATAGTAAACTTGTTAAATTTATCAAACTTTTCATTTCTTTTATATTAGCAAAATCTACCAAATCTATTGTTTCTTTTATATTAGCTGAATCTACAGAACCTATTGCTTTTGTTAAATCTACTGCTTTTACTTCTACATCTATTATGTTAATTAAATCTAATAAAATATTGATATTTACAACTAAGTATACTAAATCAATATTTGAAAGAACTAAATCTAAAGCAACATCTAGAAGAATTATATCTAATATCATATCTAAAAAACCAAATAATATAACTATTAAGAGAACTAAACAATCCTATTAGAAGAAAAGATAATAATAATATTAATAATAATAATATTATTATTAACAATAATAACAACAATTCAAAAACTCTTTCCGCTAATCATCAAAACACAAATTTATGGGAAAAACAAAACAACAAAAACAACAAAAACACTTCAAGGCTACTAGAAAACCAAACTCAAAGCTCTAAAAAAAAAGAACGAGAACAACAAAAAATATTCAATCTCTTAGAAGACTTGAGTAGAAGAGGTAGTACTAGCAAAGAAATAGAAGTAGTTGTGAAAAATCATCGATAATTTTTCGCACTTTACAAATTTTTGGGGAATTAGCCTTGACCCTGAATTGTTAATCTAATTTGATGATACAAAATTACAACACGTAATGAAGAGTAAACAAAGAAAAAACAACAAAAACCACATGATGAAAATAAAAAATGCCGATAAACACGTGTAGCACACAACAACAGTTTTCGAC